TTCAAAATAATTACTCACAAGTGAATAATGATCAGTACTCATACAGAAAAATATGTATCTTGATAATAATATATTTTTTACATGGGATACGCCTATTAAATATATAAAACTTGTATAAATCTGAGCTTGCACCTATTTCACATATATTTTTAATAAATTTTATACGAATTGTAAATAAATAATTGTAACTTAAGTAGTTTGGAAAGTTTTGAAAGTGTAGAGTAGCGGCGGTGATGCAGGTGAGGCCCAGGGGGCCCAGTCGCCACAGTGGGCCTGGGCACCTACACCGTCAGTGGAGGAGTCATCGTTTTAATGTACAGTGCGGTAGAAAAGGTAAAACGTGTATTTTTTTACAACGTAGTGTCGTACGTTCCCTCCCCACCATCTAGAACACGCGCCCCGCCCGATAAACCACTCAGTAAAAGAAGCTACACCATCAAACACACGACTTCAACGTATTATTCACAACGTAAGCGTCCACTTCACTGGCTAACTTTTTTTTTAATCATTCTGTTATTGTTAAAACAATTATTTTTCAGTTGGGGATTGCTACCAATAGTTCACCTGGAAATCGGGGAAAGGCGATAGACACTTTGTAGGTGAGTAATTGCATAGTTTTTCTCAATGATTTTGGTTCACACCTTTGATGATGGTCCCACCCATTCACCTGTAGCCTTTGTGGGAGAATTTTTTTTTCATTCAACAATTATTCCAGGCAAATACTCCTCTTTTTATCCATTCGTCTGTTTTATGTTGGACTGCAGTGCATTTAGAATAGTTGAAGGAATTTCCAGTGGAATGCGATGACTAATTGAGTGATTATAGTAATTAGGTGATGCCAAGGGAGAGGTTTTCAAATGGTTTGAAATTTATTTTTGAAATATAAGTGAAGGAAAAAGTCTGATACTAGTAGAAATTCTGTGGAATTTTCGGGAATAGTTGCACTGGAATTTTTTATTTCAAAGGATTTGATTCAATTTAATTTTTAAACGTTTAAATTCATTTTGAGATTTGAATGGAATTAAGTTTTTATTTTTTATGTATCATTGAATCCATTATTTTTTAATTATTGTTGTACTCCAATTGTTTAATTCTAGCATGCCATTCGAAATTCCATGAACTATCTGAAATATAAACTGCAAGATAATTAATTCTTATGAAATAGAATGAAAAGTGTATAATCAATTTATTTTTTGCAGACGTAAGTGAATCTTAAATTATCCGTAAAAGAATTTCAATATAAAATGTCGGACGTCTTAGCAAATCGTGATGCATGGAAGGAATACGAATACAACCGAGAGCACCAGATATATTCAAATTTTACACCATTCTATGTGACAGTGGCCATCTTTTCTATCATAGGTGGAATTCTATTCATCTTCAACATCATTTGCTGTTCGTGCAGTCGCTATAAGCACTACTGGCGCGACAGACACACAGGTAAAATATATTCAATCAATTCTATTCACTACAACGTTAAAAAAATATTTCGTCGATTTTTATGAAAATTCAATTCAATTCGAAAAAAGTTTAATATAAAGCTGGTGATTTAGTTGTAGGATCTGTAGGATCTGTGATTTATGATTTGGAGTAGAAAAAAAAAACAAATTCATGACTAAGATTAATTTATTTTGTTAAGGAAATCGTTGGATTCATCCACTGTGGGTAGTGACCCCTTACAAAAATCCACCTCTGGATCTCAGCCCAATAAAACCAGCTGACGGAAAAGGGAACATACACTCATTCACCTCTGGTCATCCCTATTTAACCCAAGCCTATCCTGCCCAAGGGACTTATTACCCAGAATCAGAGCAAGGGGACTTGGAGGCTCAGTACGACTCCAGATTAGGTACACCACAGCCCCAAGAGTACATGGAACTCCACAAACGTGAGAGTGAAATTTGAATGACACATTAACCAGAATCATTTCCGCCCATTGATCAATCGTTCCAGCGATTTCTGATCGTACAAAGTAGTTTTAGAATTGAACAGTCAATTTAAAGAGGAGATCTATTGAAGTAAACGACTGCTTCTCCGAATTCAACTTTCAAGTTCCGAATTTATACAGAAGTTTTAAACGTCTTTGGAACGAATAGAATTCTGTTAAATTAAAAAGTTGAAGTTTTAACCTGCGGGCATATTTACTCGCACGAATTTCTTTACGATTTGGGGATTTGTGAAGTTTTAAAAAGGAAAAATGAGTTTCCACATTTTCTGGCCAGCCAGCGCCTGCCTCGCCCTGTTTGTCATTGTTGTTATTATAGCTATCCTGAAATGGGGTACGAATCTATTTGAAAAGTGGTCACCCAGACGACCTTATTACTCGTCAGGGCTTGTGGGTGGGGGACATGTTTATGCCCGAGATGTTTCTGAATCTATTGCATAGGAATTATCTCTTGATTCCTTTGCTGAAATTTTTCAGAATATGATCCGTCGAAAATGATACGTGCATTATCCATAAATATCTCTGGATCATGAAGGTTTAGAGAAAATTCTCCTAATCTGCTCTTGGGATATTTCCAGAATAATGTATGTGTCATTCTAAAAATTAATTCCCTCCATTATCAGTCCGACGTGAAAATTGAAGAATTTTAAGAACCAATAGGTTTATTAGAGTCTAACATTTAACAACTCGACTTTATTTTTGTAGAGATTTTTGTTTGTTACAAAACAGGGCGTTCCTACTTTCCCATAAAATTCCTCGTTCTTAAATTATTTACCAAAAAACATAATTATTTTTATTGTCATGATTCACCTCGATCACTTTCCTCCAGATTGAATCAGAGAGATTCGGAAGAAATTCGGCAAAATACGAAATTACCTCCCATTTTTTCTATCATCGACAACTAAAAAATTAGAACTTACATATTAGCTTTAAATTTAGCACTAAATTCCGTCCAACTTTAGTATAAACTTTTTAACGCAATTTTATAAATGGAATATTTCCGCTTTTGAAAGTTAATATTTTCGCTTCGTATGTACACAGTGCCTTATGAATTAATTGTAAGATTGAAAAATTACTTACAAAAGATGCAAGGAGAGAAATCTATTGAAACATTTTACCTGCTGTTGTTCATTTTAAACATACCAAAGGAGATTGTAATCTCTTGCTTGACGATGGGAGCAAGAATTCAAAGATCTGATGCAGCACCATAATGTATTATGATCTGATTTTTACCATTCCCTACTGTATTCCGTCCAATTGTATTTTTATATGTTTTATATGGCTTCGAAAATGATAAAAGCAATGATTCGAATTGTATCCTGAATTTTCCGAGAATTCAAATAAAATGGTGTCAAGTATAATTTGTAATTAATTATGTGTGAATTTATATTAATTTGGATCCCAGTGAAAACCTCTTCACAAGATAGAAAAAGAAGGGCGTATTTTTAACAAAAAAGATGCTCTGAGCCTAATCTTCAAGTTTCTAAACTACAATTAATACATTTGAAGGAAATAATACGAAACCGTTCATCAGAAAAATATTTTTTTGACAATATACTTACGATAGATTAACGTAATTATGAATTAACCATGGGCAAGTGCATATTTATCTTGGTTTATCTAAAAAACATCCTAATAAGAAAAAAAAAATGAGTACAGTATTTATAGTAATTTTAATTTTATTGACAACATTGCATTTCTGTTTATTTTGTTACATGTGTATTTCTCTTGATTACACGTTTCTTACGTCTGTTGTTAATTCATTATGATATTAATGTATGATGAATTTCTTGAAACATTACTTCAATGCTTTATTGTGAAAACAATATTTTCTGAAAAAAAATATTTTACTTCCTTTTTCTACTTGTAAATATCCGGAGAAAAATCTCCCAAATAAACGCATATTCAGTTATTCCAATTCTCATAGTTGTGTGCATTTTATCATTCGGTACAGCAATCCCTCGATTGGCGATAATTCCGGTTAACAATTGTGCATTTAACATCGTCATTTATTTATCACCCTTTTGACCAATTTAATTATGTCAATTTTCTTTGATTTATGCTGAGCACCACCATTGTACGAGAATTTCAGACCGAAAATTTGGATTTTTATGTCCATCAGGATTACTTACTAGTAGATGAAAAAAATTCCACTTTTCGGCCATCACATCAATTTTTCCCTTTTTCATCACTTTTCAGTTGATTATAAAAGTTTACAGGTGAGAATTCAAATGACAGGGGATAATTGAACGTACCTAACATTTCTAAAAATTTTTCGACAATTTATTTTTATCCCAATAATTGGATTAGTCAAAAAGTTTCGAGGAAGTTCCTACGGTTCTCTATATCTCCCTGTTTCGGCTAATTATTCGAGAATGAAGAGTATTAAAAAGATCAGCTAACCATATAGCATAAGTGTAATTTTTTGTTTCTATTTTCGCTATGTTACAATGCAAGTTTAAACATCGAGAGTTTACATTAGTGTTAATAGTTATATATATTTTTTTAGATTTTGGTTGTTTACGTTTGTTATGGGTTGTTGGGGTCTATAAGAGGTGGTGATCTCTACTCTTTGGGAAGTTTAAAAGGATGATTGAAAAGGAGGATAAGGGCTCCACAGAATAGATAAATTCTATCTTATTTTATCTCATTTCTAAACTGATAACCTTAGGTATTTTTAATTTATCTTTATTTAATATTACGATGATATGGTGGATATGATGTCGAGCAGTCTAGATAGCCCGGAGTACGTTTTTATTTTGATTTTGTTGACATTTTGTTCTCGTAAATTTTGAAGAATGTTATTATTTGATTCTTTGTATTTTTATGTGCTCATATCGAGCGAATCTTGACGTACTATTCTTCATTTCGTTTATGAGTCAATGGGGAAAGGTAAATATTTGATTTTAAAGTTCAACTATTTTATAATAAAGAATTGGATAAATCCAACTTTAGTTTTTGATGAAATATTGATTATTATTTTCATTTTTTATTTTTCTTGTTTGATTTTTGTGCTCATTGCTGATGCATCGTAGGAGATGTGCTCCCATGATTGCTCTGAATGCTTCACGGAATTTATAAACAGTGAAAATTCATAGTCAAGTGTAAATTAACAATCGACGAGTCTTGTAAACATTAATTATTCATTACGGTTATTCATTTATTATTAGATAAGATGGACTCGTCACGGTTGGAATCGTTGTAATTCGCCTGGTTGGTCCTAGTGCTTTCTCTACTGATTTTTCAAACAACGAACGATTACGAGTAGATAATGTTTATTCCTTTGTATTTTTTTTTGTTTAGTTTCAAGAGATTTACACAGATTTAGACAGATTTATTCTTCACTATTTTATTCAGCTGTTTGGCGTGAACTGTCAACATTTTGTAAACCACCAACAATTGCAAAAAATTTATTAGCCAAGGAGAAAAATATGGAAGCAATGTCTTTAATATTGTTGTTTTCAATTAGACTTTATCAAGCCTCTAAGAAAATTTCTGACTCATTTCACAAAAGTTTTTATTCATTTTCCTTTTTAATGCTTCAGCTAAAACGATAACATACGAATTTATTGTACAATCACACGGACGCTTGATAGTTTTTATTTAATTATCGGAAAATTAACTGATTGTTTCTTTTATTATTAAATTAGTATTCATTTTTTTTTGCACCAAGAAGACAAGGATCCGTCTGCGGTGAACGTTCAATTGCCAGAGAGGTGCTTATTCAGTTGTTAACTTCCTCTTTACTGCTTTGCACTCTTCTTGTTTCCTCGCTCAGCTGTAAAAATGTTTTCTTTTCTCAATTAATTATGGCATAATCAGTTGCAGTAGTCAAGAGGAGAGGCTGCACTAACAGACAAGTCTATTCGCGTTTCAAATGCATAATCATAAATTTCTTCTCTAAAAAATACATCAATTAACAAAAAATGCATTTTTCATTTATGGTATCATGAAGATCTGTTTATGATATCATGAAGATCTCCAAAAACCATAAAAAATTCAATTGTTATTGCCTTTCATTATGAGATACTCGTCATCAGAACTGACAATATAAGTGAATTTAAAGAATAACTAATTCCCATCACTTTCGTAGTAAATTTTTCTAATTAATTCGTGGGAAGAAAAAGTCAGTGCAATTTTTCATTGAATTAAACCCAAAATTGTAATTTTATTTTCAATAATTAAAACCAAATATTTTTTTCATTTGCATCTTGATTCTATGAATGAATACGAAAAATCAATTTGTCAAGAAAGCTGGTGGAATTGTTATTAAACATAAAAAAAACGCAATTGCTTTAAATATCTGTCGTAAATTGGAATTGATGATTCTATCTTGAATCCCACTCAAAGTTAATGGATTCACTATCGATCTGAATAAATTTGTATGGTATTGGTTGATATTGAATTACCTTTCGCGGATTTTTTTGTGTTGGTCTCCTGTTTACATCTTTTTGTGATGCGACGCGTTGGCTCACATGATGAATCGCTATTTGGCTTCAGATTGTCCACTCGTGTCATCGACTGGTTCACACAACTGCTGAATGAGCCTTTTTCATATTTGCATGCTGCGCTTGCCGCCACGCATGTTAACGAGAACAAAAACATTGGTTTATTATAATTTTATTACGAACAGTGCATAACTAAACATCATTTGCAATATCTCAAGATTTCCATCTGATTTTTATAAATAATCACTCTTTGGAAATCGTAAAAAATTGGAAATTTTTCAAGAAATCAAATCAGATGAAAATATAAGAAAATTTAAGTCCATAGGACATGGTTTCGTTTAAAATGTTCACTGAGTATCATGTAATCATGAAGACTTGTTCCTCTTTAAAAACGATATAATCTCTATTCAACCAAATGAGCACTAAAAAAAAATTCAACATTCAATCGAAGAGCATCTGATGGAACGTCCGGATGTGATCATAATTGAATTTACTTCGTTTCCAGTGGCCCTTGAATGATTGAAGAAAAGTGTGAATGGGCACCATTCAATGAACTTTTCTTATTATTGGAAATTCATTACTATCAATCGTTATAAAACTTCCATCAATTTTCTTGTATTCAACAACTCTCTGTTTCCCATAACTCGAATATCATTGAAAAAAAATTAATGAGTGAAAGTTCACATGCAGATCATTTTGTAAGGTTCTTGGAAGTAATGATGTAAAGGGATCCTTCAGTCTTTGGAATTTCAGACAAAAACTTTCCTGATAAATTCCTTCAAATCGCTTCACTTCAAAGTTATTCACAAACTCCTTTGCTTTGAATAAGTTTTCAACTTATCTCATTTCACCACTTCATGATAGAAATGAGAAAACCATCAACTCGGAATAGATTTTGACGTCAACTCGTAGCAAATTAGTGGAATTTCATGGTCCAATAATCAATGAGGTTCCAATATATTTGTAAAATAAAATATCATTCGTGGTGACTCTGAACATGACTCATTAGCAGAATAATTGAATAATTAACCAGCAATCTCATTGGCTACCTCATTATCATTCATCTATATATTGTATTGTACATTGATCAATTAATTTCAATTAATTATACTAGAAAAATCTGGAAGTTCGAAAAATATCTGTACATGTACTGAAAAAATTTACTTAAAATTGGAATATTCGTCTCAAAGCCCAAGATATTACACGAAAATTCAACTAAAGTTTATGTCAACTTGAACCGCTGACCACTTCTCTGGCGTCTGCATTCTCACAGTAAAAATCTATTTCTAGACACGTCTCAACGTAAATTCAACATGAATTCAACAAAAGTACAAAACCGTGAATATTAAAAGAAATGTCTACCTTTTTTGCACTTCTTCTGAATAGTTTTGGTTTGCTCGCAAGTTTTGTTGTCACCCTTTTTCAAATTAAGCGTTCGCATTCTCATATTAGTCTTTGGATCACACTCGGACCATTGACCCTTGACGTATCTGCAGAGTGCGGCGTTGCTGCCCCCGGATGCTGCAAACAATCATCATTTTTTTTTTCTCTCTCATTTTTTCAGTACCTCCCTTCGAGCACGACAATAAGGACAAAGAAAATTAGTAGAGGAAAAAGCACACTTTCCAGGGTCATGCACCTCAATAATGTTTAATTGTAAAATGTGAAACAAAAGATAAAAATGGATGAGAATTTCTTTTTCCTCCACTCGACTCTTTTTATCTAGTATTCTTTCGTTTTCTTGGCCTCTCTTTTTTATCTCCTTTCTCTCATTCTGTCTTATTTTCCAATCTGCTTTATACTTACATCGCTCTTTAGTGCCCCGAACAGTACGTACGAGTACCTCCTTGTCATCCTCCTCCCAGAGATCCGATTCACCTCGTGTAATTGCTGTCATTGACAGGGCAACTCCAACCACAAGTATCAGACTCCACCAGATCTTCATTTTCTACCTGAAATAATAATAATAATAAGCTTCTAATTGATAAAAGTCTATTCATTCTCGCTTTCCTCTCTAGATTCGTTCTTTATCTTTATGCAAAGGATTTTTTTTTTCGTCTCAGTTTCAATTCACGAAACAGACGCGTCGTTGATAAATAGGGAAGTGCAGAGGCGGTTGAATTATACTCGGGTTATATACACTTGTGCAGATGGAGGAACGACATTTCTCTCTATCTCCAACGAAACGACCGAGAATCGTCTTCGTCGAGCCATTAAAAAACGGTCAGGGCAACCGGAGCTGATGAAATATCGACCGAGTGGCAATTTTTTGCTTTATTTCAAGGAATCTTGCGAGGGTAAAAAAAATACTTGACGTCTCATTCATTGGTTTTCATCCATTTTCAGGAAAATTGGGGAAAATTGTTGGGCATTGTCGACTATTTCGCTGATGAATGTATTCAGAAAATGGAGTTAGAGAGGGTTTTGCCAACGTCATGACTTTAATGGGAAATTGCTTGTTCAAAATTGATGTGAAAAATTTCACTCTGGATTAAACTGTATTTTCAGGTAATTGGAAATTTACGATGACATTCGATCGACCAAATTTGACACTCAAGGCATTTTTCATTTTTATTTTTATCAGAACGTATCGCGTAATTGTGATTGACTTTGGGTGGAACCTTTTCCCTTTGCATCACATGAAAATTCAGTAATTAAATCTGCTGCATTTCACGATGACTGCACAGAGAGAAAAATTGAATAAAAATTACCAGAGAGTTTCGTAATTCGGGGGCGGAAGATTGTCGTTCTGTGAAAAAATAGATAACGAACCGGAATTTATATGTGGATTTCGGGTAGTTTCCCTGGTTTGTTCGGGAATTCGGTAGCTAATGCAATTATAAACATTTCGAATTAATTGACCTGAACAGGGAAATTACCGAAATACTCCAAAAAGAGTAAATTATTGGATACTTTCCTCTCGGGTTAATTTTTCGTTCTTATTTTTTTTTGGTAATTGTTATTGAATATTTCCGATTTTAATAGAAGTATTTGCACATTAATACTCTCATTACAAAACTCGAGAGCAAATTGGTATACATTCATCGACGAGAATTGCTGCACAAATTCTACTAAAACTTCAAGTGTAAAATTCCCTTATGCCTTTTTTTAAATCTCGTATTTCTCTAAAAAAAATTCAATTTATTTTGCAATCCCTTCCACATTATAATTATAAATAAAATAAATACTTAGTAGAAAATAGTTTCGTTTGAATAATTAATTGAGACCTTCTCGGATAAACCAAATGTACATTGTGCAATCTCTCAAAGCGATATCTCGCTTACTCCATTATCTCAACTCTCCATTTACAAACGAAATAGTTAACTCTTCTAAGGCAGTTGGTGTATCGCATTTAATGATCTCCCAGTGCAAGTTTTTTCATTCCAATTTTTCTCACAAACTTCTGAGAACTGCGTTGTCCCTAATCGGTAATTCAACGTTATTTTTTGTCCTGCTCGGGTGAAACACCAGAAACAGAAGATGCGAATATCTTGTTTGGCGATCAGCAGCACAGTAGTAGTAGTGGTATAGTAGGTAAGTAGTGAACATTTCATTTATTTTCCAAGTCTCAATCTCCCTTTTAAAGAAGTCACTTCTTCTTCTCCAGTTTCCTCGGTATCTCGTCTCGGTAAAAAGGGGGAGCTTTTTACGGGACTTTTTAAACATGAATATTCAGCAGTGGATAATTCCATTTTTCAACGTCGATTCGGTGTCCAATGGTTGTCATTAAGGATCGAGAGTAATCATTATGTCGTAGGAATCCTACCACGGGATTAAGCTGTCGCGACCTTTTGGGATATTAATTATCTTTGGGAGAAAGAAAATTCTTTAGTGAATTAGTGAGACTATCATCGTAATTGTAAAGATTATGACAAAAAAATTTTATTGTTCCCTAGAATAATATGAACTGATATAATATGAAATTCCTACGAGTTATCCCTTGATGATAGAGACTGTTGATTTCAAGTGGAAAAAATCTGTTATCTCAGAAATTTAATTAGTTACAAAGAAAGTTTTTTAATGTTTGCAGCCCGAATCGATAGGCTAAACTATAGTTTAATGACTCAAGAAGTTTCAAAAGAAATAATCTGAGAAAAATAGAAAGAGAAGTTTTTGAAGAAAAAGTCGACAGAATTTTCAGCTCTGATTGAAATGAAGGAGATATTTGTTCCTTTGAACTGTACGATGAAATAATACTCCTTGTCCTTGCGATAAATTTTTCAATATCGAAATAAATAGGTGACAAAGTACTACGGAGTAAGCCATGGGAGAGCAAGAAAAATTCCCCTGAAATACAAGAGAATTCACCTTGGGGTTCACTCGAGTTATTTCCCAGTTTTTTTGTCATGTCTTACATCAAGGAAAAAAGTTTCATCGATGTCTTCCAGAGACTAATGGACAAACGAAGGTTTTCCGATATATTAGACGAAGCCGGAAATTTCGTTGGCTTTTCTGATGGCATACAATTACTCCACGATTTCCTGGTGCTTCTTCTACGGAATTCAATTCCCTCAATTATAATCCTATCCTAACTATTCTCCACTTATTAATTTTCTCTGAATATTTCATGATAACTAGTCCTTGACTTTGAAAGGGTTTATGGAAATCATTTGAAAAATGAATTGAGAGAAAATATTTTATTTTGAAAATGTTGAATAATGATAAATTACGAGAGATGGCAAAGAAAAGGCACAGAAAGTATAAATATACTTGATTCAATTCTATTTTATGTTTGATTGTATATTGCCTTTTCAATGTCATACGCAACAGTTTTTAGAAATTAAATTTCATTCCCTCATTACATTTATTGATCAACAGCTGATGAATTTCTTTGCGAAAAAATCAATTTTTCATCGCTTTGAAAACTAAATATTCTGTAATGAAGCGGAAAATGTAGAAAAATGAAGAATAATTAATATAATTAATAAATAATAAATAAATGTAAATATAATATCAAGTATATACTTGGTTTTGAATGGACCTATTGTATCGAGATAATCCTCTAAAAATTGGCCGGCCAACAAATCGATTCAAGAGGTCGAGGAACGAAAAACTATTCTGACGAGACGACAAACTATCCTCGTTCCGGATTATTGCATACCAAAGAACTATTGTTAGAGAAGTCTGTTGGCACCGGGACACGTAGACGATTCACCCAGACAAATCTATGAATGATTTCAATGCACCCTTCAATGCCCCCTCGAGCTCTGCCAACATCTTCGATTCGACATGAAGACCAGAATGAATTCAAAAGAAACTTGGGTAAGCTTCCATCTTTCATGGCAGCTCAACTTCCCTTGTAATATTTCAAAATTTCTCAACAATTCTCAAAGAACACTCAAATTATCGCTTTCAGTTGTCTACGGCATTACAATGGCGGCTAGTTATTACGGATTAAGAAAGAATTCGCGTAACCGATAATCGGAAATGGTTTTGCCATTCCAAATTATTCCATTTTTAACATTTTTTTATGTTTAAACAAATATAAATAAATAAATTGAGGATTTAGTAATTAGTTATTGACAAATTATCAAGTGGGATTCTTGCAAAAATTAAGATAACGTACGTAGTACAATTGAATTAATAATAATAACGTACATCATCGAATTGACTTCAAATTCCAAATGGGTCTTCTTCATCGGGGTTTTTATATTAAATTAATTATATCGGTCTACAATGAAAAAACGGATTTTTTTCGAAAGCATCAGCTTGATATTCCATCGGATAATAATTGATTACATTTTGGGAGTCATTGGATAGGAATAAGATGCAAAAATCCGGTGACTTTTTTAATAATTGATGATTTGTTATTTGGAGAGGGGCAGACTATATTTAATCAAGTTACAAACTGCAAAAATGGTATTTTTATTTTTCTTGTGCATCATCGCATAGAGATTTCTCAAGGTAAGAAACGGAGAGTATATTTTTCTTGAATTTCTGTCGATAAAAATGAGCACGTCAAGTTACGCGAAAAATCGGCGAAGCTTGACATATTCAGCTGTATGCAGCGAATTTGTCACAAAGTACCGGATCATTTTGAAGCCCTTGAGATATTTCTTGAGATATTTCTCCTGAAAATCTAGGGTTCGAAGAGATGCGAAACAGGCAGGGGTGCTTTTAGCGCAATATTTCCTGTTCAATACTCCCTATATCCGAGATGTTCATCGCAACTCATCCTTGAGTTAAAGAGTTATTGCCAATATTTTCTCATTTTTTAAATTTGTTCACAAGTTTCTGAGGAACGTTTGATAAAATTAACATGAAAATATGTAACGTTTGCCAATTTTTTTCTTATGCCCATTTGCAAACATTCACAAAGTTACAAAAAAAAAATAGAAAAATAAACGCAAGACTAAAAATTTCTGGGTCATTGAATAATCATGAAACCTGAAAACGGTATATTTTTTCACGTCACTCTGATCCACGGTTTCTCAGTAATTTTTTAAGTACATTTCTTTCCGCGTAAGAAGTTGCTGAAAATAACCCCATCATGAGAGAAAAAATGATGAATTTAATTTTCGGGTAAATAATGTTCAAGGCCCTCATTTCAAGTCTCACTCCCTTCTATTTTTCGTAGCACACACTGGATTCATCAATTATCACCATAGGGGTTTCCTCAAAACTACTTTATTTAAAATATTCATGGCGCCTTCCTCTCGACCTCCTCCCACCCCTGAATATCCTAGCATCAAGATAATCTCTTCCTCAGGCCAGATGTAGAAATGATAACGCAACAACAAAAAAGCCAGAAGCTAATTCCTAAAAAAATCCCACAGAGTTTCTAGAACTTTCAGATTAATTTCGGAATACCCCGAACATTTGTCGAATGATTAATTTCACGCGGATTTAATTCAATTAAAAAATTAACAATTCCTCTCACATTGAAAAAATATTAAAAGACATTTTACCACAGCAAGTGACCAAGGCTCGAAGGAATATTGACAATTGGAAAGATTATAATTCCAAATAATAAATTTCATCCCTTTCTTTCTTCTTCACTCGAAATAAATCTTATATTCCTCAAAAATTACTGTTCAGAGATTCCCCTTCAAACATCACTTATTCCTAGTAAAGCGAATATTTCGCAGGAGCGA